TCTGATTCTGAGCACACTTAAGCTCCACTGAAACCAGTGAAACTTATTTCCAAACAAATGTGTTTAGAAAAGAGGTGCTGGTATGCCATCTTTATAAGATGAGAACCCATTTGTTCCATAAAGCATATCGTAAATGCATGTTCATCCATTTCAGAACTTCACATTTTTCCATAGTCTTCCGTTGAGGACATCGTGTTTAATGTTTACTGTAATTATGCCTTTAACTATACTAGTGTAACTTGGAGGCTTTCAGAGTTGATATTACTGTTGGGGGGGGGGAGATGCACTTGGTTACTGTGTGCCACAGGCTTTGTAATCTATAAATAGGGTATTCCATTTTTAAAGAGAAAGTATTAAAAAGGTTATTATAGAAATGGCTACATGTTTGTAACAAAGTCATTCTAGTATACTTGATCAAAAGTTCACATTTACAGCATACATGTTTCCAATCTGGGAAACAGTACCTTATTCTTAATTTAGACTGACCCCCCCCTTTTTTTTTAAAAAAAAAGCCTCATTCTCTAGTGCCATATATTGAGACCGTTGGAGTTTTGAATACTTGCTTTATCTTTCTGGAATGCCTGGATGTTGGGATCAGTTAACTATTCTCACAAAGCTGCCTTTCTCATTTGAAGGGCCTAGATAAATTTTCTTCAGCCCTGCAGGATCCGGTCTTCTGTTGATAGTTGAGAGTCATTTGTAATTGTCATAGCTGGGAGAAGAAAGAAGCCTTGATAACACACTGAATCTTCTTTTGTTGGTGTGACCAACCAAGACATAGGTAGTGTTTTTCTTCAGCAATACATCTGTGATGTTCGTTGCTTCTGTCTTCTGAAAAGATCTATCAGTCTGAAATAACCAAAACTATTCACTCAGTAGGTTTTAAAAGCTGTTTTCTGTATCTTGTTCATTAAATACCTTTCTTGTGTGTATTTTGTTATTCTTTCCTTTTTTGTCCTGTTAGAGCTTGGTGAAAAAAATGTCTTGGCCCTTTGAGTACTGCTGAGAGGCTTAGGCTGAAAGGTTCTCTAAACAGTTAAACCTGTGATTAATAACTAGCTCAGTTCAGTTTTGTCGCAATAAACATTTTGAGTACTTCGTTGTCAACAGTACATGCACTTTTATTTTTGAATCTAGATACTGTGTTAAACCTTTAAATCCAGAGCTATTAAAAACAATGCTGTTCAAAAGAATCTTTTTGTATACTTTTATGTGCAGGAATTCACACAAATCTAGGATACCAGTATTTTATACTGCTATGCAGTTTCTACAGAAAACCAAGCAGTGATATATAGTTTGTCATTACTTTGCTCTTTTTGTTCCCTTGTACTTACATTTAAAGTGTACACCAAGTCTCTTCTAGTGCTTGGTTCCCTGTTGCATTGCCTTTACTTACCAGTTGTTTCTCTTACCAATATGACACTACTCACCTTTTTAAAAAAGTTTTCAGTTAATATCATTTTTTCAGTGTGTGATGTCATCCTAATTAAATACATTTGCCATTTCCCTCTTATCGTGCTTGTTTGTTTTTTCCCCTTGATCACATGACCTATCTGGTATTGAAATTATACTCTGGCAGTGTGTAATAAACTGGCATAAAGTTATTTAAAAGGTGAACACACGGATAAAGTTATTTAAGAGTGAACACACACATAGGAAGGGGCTGTGGGTTAGTGGTAGAGCATCTGGTAGGTATGTAGGTCCCAGGTTCAATCCCTGCCACCTTCAGTTGCAGAGACTAGGTAGTAAATAGATGACATGAAAAACCTCTGCCTGAGACCCTGGAGAGCCACTGCTAGTCTGAGTAGATGTACTGACCTTGATGAACTCGTGGTCTGATTCAGTATAAGGCACCTTCATATTTAAGGAGGCTGAACTATCACTATCAAATATGATTTCTAGAATGTGGAATGAAAATGTCCCATCCCTCCATACACTTGACTTGTAAAAAAAATCTGCAAGGATGAATTATATTGTTTTTGTATTTATGTTATAGAATTGTGAGGAAATAGACCATTTGACCGTCATTTTGTTTTAACATTTCATTATTCAGACAGTTCAAATGTTTCTCACAACTCTTAAGCAGCACTAGTGAACCTGCATGTCACTTTAGTGGCCAAACACAAAATGTAGGAAAGGTTTATACACACAGATGTAAATTTTTTAGAAATTTTGAAAAAATGGAGGAGGGGGGATAAAATACATGCAATACTTATTTTCCTGACAAATCTAAACTTTTTACTGATTTAACAACATAAAATCAGTAGAAAGTGTAGGTTTTATATCTTCGCATGTAAAATTGCACTATTTGGCATATTTTGGAATTTAGAACTATAGCTGTCTTAATTTTCTGTAGTACTGTATACCCAATTCTTAACTTGCAAACTGCTGCACCTATTCTACCCTAGGGCGTGTAATGATTTTTGCCATCTGAGAGGGAAAAATAAAAGTTGAAGGTAGAAAACAACTTCTGTACTAAACAGATTATTTGGACAGAAACATGGTCACAGCATATTTTGATACTGTTAAACTTTAATGAATTTTTTCACTGTTCTAAACAGAACTGTTGCCAAAATTTACATTTTAAAAATTTGTGAACATACTTATCTACACAAATCACATTTCTCTAATACTGTAGATCATACATAAAAATTTGCATACTACACATTTGCAGTAAAACATTTTTAAAAATCAAAAATATTCATGCTGTATAGTTTCAGAATGAGTAAAATGTGCTTTAAGACAAGATTTTTCTCATTCAAAATAAGAACATAGTTCACAGGGATATTCAGTTCTGCCAAATTTCTCCGTTTCTCCAATGGAAAATTGAAAAAGTCCTTAGCATATTTCCTGCTATATTTTTGGGTGAGAAAACCTTGCCTTTAGCATGTCAATCTTTCCAAATACAGTTTGTTTATTTTTATACAGTTTGTTTATTTTTAGTGTTCCCCACAAGAACGGATTTTTTTTTTTTTTTGTCCTGGGCAAAATCCTCCGACAACCCATTTTTTCTGAGTCCCTCCTCCCATACTTAATACTACTGTACAGTGCTTCTATGATTAATTAGATTTTGAGTATCCAGAAAGAGATTTAGATACATACTTGCACGGCTTGCAAATTATATAAGCCTTAGGTCGATACAAGATTAAGTAGCGAGGCTAAAAGATCATAGGGATATTTTAAATGTTTTCCTTTTACACATACTTACAATGCTGTGTATCAGGGATCACAGCCAAAGACTTAGAAGGCTAAGCAAACATCTTTGCAAGTGTTTGGAAGAGATCTCAGGAAGGGTGACTGCATATCCTTGGTTTATAGGGGTATTTTTGCTTTTAAAGAGTGCCAAAACTTGACATTGCTGTAAATTACGAATAAACCACACTAGGGGGTGGTCACTCCTAGAATTTAGAGTGCTTTGTACAGACTGTTCATGTGGGATTTTTAAAAAGATACTGCAAATGTGCTGTTGTGTGTGAATTGGTATCATCCCCAGACTGATGCTGATAGTTCATAATGTGACTATATGGTAGCATTTATTACATGTCCATAAAGCTTCTGGTTTGGGTAATATATCAAAACAAACAGGAGCTGTAGGAGGGATCTCATTTTCCACACCCACCATTTCCTTTTTCCCTTCCTTGAGAACCCAAAAGCATCTCCTCTTTTCCTTCTTTCACTCCTTCACATCCACCAGCCAACCTACCATTATCTGCCCATGTCTCCAGCTTTCCCTCATCCCTTCCCCTGAAGCAATCAGTTGCATTGGGGGGGGGGGGGGAGCAAAAAGGTATTACTTTTATAGGACACCTCATTTTTCCTTTATCTCATCTCCCACACTATCTCCTCTTTCACTTCTCTTGACAACCCTCATATCCTCACCTTTCTCTGCATCATTCTCCCCTTCCCATCTATTTACCTTTTATCTGCCCACTTTCAGCTATATTATCTATTTATTTCATTTATACCCTGCATTTCTTCACAAAGAGGTCCTAGGTCAGCTAGTATCATTCTCTCCATTTCATCATCACAACTACCGATGAAGTAAGTTAGGCTAAGAATGAGTAACTGGCTTATGGTCACCCAGCCAACTTTTACTGCTGAGTGATTCAAACCTCAGTCTCCCACATCCTAGTGAAACTGGAACCTCTATATTACACTGGCTTTCAGGGGGTGGCTACTGTGTAGCAAGCAGCCAGTCCTCGATAAATCATGCAAATCTTGTACAGCAAGTCTCCCTGTGGCTGCTGCTGGGCCTGACTCCTATGGTCTCAAACAGCCCTGAAAAGCTCCCCTACCTTTTACTGACAAAAACCAAGGGCTGAAAGTTTGCAGTACTATTGTGGTTGCTTAGCAACAGCTACTGATATTCATTTCTTAAAGCTGCAGGTGCTATTCCTACTGGGGAGGAGTTAACCCGTCCCATAGTAAATTTTTAATTTTTTTCTGATTTTTTTTGCGTTCACGTTAAAAAACTCGTTTTAAATAATGTCTGTTTAACAGTCAAGGAGAGGAATAATTTATGAAACACTTTGGAAAACCAGTTTGAGAGGGTAGCTGTATTAACTCTGCAGAGGAGCGACTCATAGCATGCGAAGAAACAGCCCGACCGTAGTTCACAAAAGCTTGTGCTAGAATTTTGTTCGTCTGCGCTGCCTCAAAAGGTTACTTGTACTTCCATTAGTAAGCAATGCTGAAAAGTGCTTGGAATAACAAAGTAATCTTTCATAAAGATGGATCACGCGGAATACAAGACAACTTTGCAGCCTTTTAAAGTGGAAGATAAACATGTTTTTTTGTCATCTATGGTGGTATTAACCTGTTTAATCCTGCGAAGGAGTACTAATATATATTTATATCTAAATGCTTCGAGGGAGGGATAAAAATGTACTAAGCAGGTGGACGTACACGAATTAAGAGACCTTTCGAAACACGCGGACTCAACACCTCCTCCTCCTCCCACCACCGCCTCTACTCAACTGCACGCTTTACCTCTAAGTCACATGATACTGCGCCTCGTCCTTTGATAGGCTGCACCACACGCCTACGCAAGTGACGTCGCATTTCTTCCTCAACGCAGCTGTTCCATCCTCCCTCTAGCGGTCGAGAGAGGGAATCAAGGCACACGTCCTGTCCACGATTAGTACTAAAGTTTCTTAAAGGGCGAGGTCTCTCCCATGCTGTTCCGTTTCGGGGTGATCGTGCCCGCCAGGCTGGCAGAAGGCGGCACGGCGCTGTGTCTATCAGGCTCCCACCCGGAGCTGGGTCACTGGGACCCCCATCACGCATTGACCATGAAACCGGCACGGCCATTGGCTCCTCTGCCTGCTCAAGAACCCGTGCTGTGGCTCACGGAGGTGACCCTTCCCGCAGAGGAGTCCGCGTGCACGTTCTGGTACAAGTTCCTCAGGCGGCACGAGACAGGAGAGGCAGTCTGGGAAGGTAACCGCAAACTGAGGACTGGGACGTCTGAAGAGGGAGGGGGCGGGGCCGCCCGCCTGTCGTCGGCTGTGTCCCGTCTCCGTGACAGCTACTGCCATGCGCAGTAAGAGTAAAGGCGGTGGGGTGCGCCGGCGACCTTACGGTTCCTTCGGCCATTTGTCAGCGATGCCAACTCATTATTATATAACCACAAATATGTTGCCTTGCCGTGCAAAATGCACCGCCCCAGCTAGTCAGCATCCCCTTTTCAGCTCCCAAGTCGTGACTAATCAGCTATTCTTTCAATGTAGTAGAAAAGTTGTATTGCCGTATTGCTCCATGTGCCAGGCGTCCTTCCATAAATCCTTAAGCATGTCAAAAAGACCCATTTATTTTTTCTATTAAATATGCCTAAAGTGCCTTATAATAGAGCCAACAAACAAATACAATACATTAAACCTTTGCAAGCAGTAATCAGTAATAATTAATAGATACTGTCCAGACTTTGGCATCTCTGCCCAAGCCCAGGTACATTTGTTTATTTATTTATTTGATTTATATCCCCCCCTCCCTGCCAGGACAGGCTCAGAGTGGCTAACATGGCCATAGGCATTATAAACAGTAAGACAATAAAACAATATAATAACTTAACAATTTAAAATCAAACACACATTCCTGTCATCAAAAGTTTTCCCATCACCACTGAGATCTTTCCAGCTTGTTACATATGTTCAAGAAAACAGACTTTAGAGTTTATGGAGTGTGCTAGCCAGAAGGACGGGATGGTTTAGTGATTTAAGTTTTTCATCACAGTTGGGGGTCCTTGGGTTGCTAAAGTTTGAGAACCACTTCTGTACATCATTCTGTTTTGTTTGGGAAGAAAATATGGGAATTAGGGGGACAGTAACTTTTTGGTCTGGTCAGGGCCGGCCCAAGGTTGTCCTGCGCTCTAGGCGAGCGCAGATGCCAACATCCCAGCGGGACCTGGAGACATTGTCTCGGCAGCGGGGGGGGAGGAGGAAAGCGGACGGTGTGGGGGGGTCTGTGTCTGCGCATCCCCGGCCCTCCTCCCTCTTGCCTCCTCCGTCTTGGCCACTCCCGCCCATCGGCCGCTGCCGCTGGCCAGCAAGAGAGGCCGAGAAAAGCGGCGGGGGCGGGGGGGGGGGG